TTCCATGGGCAGTATACCATCATTACACGAAGGTATGGCCGATACGTGGAGACACACCTCATTCGATAGAGAATTCAATTCTGAAAAAGAATATCATGTTTAAAAGCTTTTTAAACGTTGACGCGGGATCTAACCGAGGGCCAACATTTTTTGGTGTTCTAGGATACCTAGGGGTCTCAAAATCCTATACGTTTCTTTTTGAATCATATCATCGGATAAAGTGTTTTTTTAAAGTGTTGAGAAAATGATGCAAGAATTTGGATTAACAATGAGTGTCAAGAACACATATGTTATGACATTACAACAGTTTCAGGAAGATTAAAATCGAAAGATTTTGAAACAGAATGAAGTGATCTTTCCGGATATAGATATTACAATTCGAAACCAAATGATTGAAATTGTTGACTCTTTCACGTATCTAGGTTGCAATGTCTCCAGAGATCAGAAAACAGATAATGAAATTAGCATTAGATTGAGTAAATCTGCCACGGATTCAATATGTTAAGACATGTAGTTTGGAGTAGAAAAACTATCTCAGTTAAAGCAAGACTACGAGTGTTTTGTGCCTATGTTCTTTCTGTCTTGTTGTATAGGAGTGAAACGTGGGCAATTACCAGTACACATGAACGTAGAATTGCTACTTTCTATATGAAATGTCCACGTATGATTACTGGAGTAAATCTGAGTGATAGAATGTCAAATGAGAAGTTGTTGGAAATCACTGGGCAATCACCAATTGAAAATATTTTACGTAGGAACAGATTAAGATGGTTTGGACATGCTAATCGAATGCTGAACGGTGATGGTGAAGCATCGGTAGTGAAAAAGATTGTTTTCACATTCCTGAAGGGAAACGGCCTCGAAATATTGGTATAAGGAAGAGATGGGAAGATAAAATTCAAAATGATATACAAACTCTGAATATTTCCAACTGGAGAAGACAAACTCTCGATAGAGATCAATGGCGTGAGTTGATCAACCAGAATACCCAAACTAGGCCTATTCATCCAAACATAAAAGAGATTATTTTTGAGTATAAACAACGTGCGGTCGAACGTAGAGAAAAGGATTTGGCAGCATCTCATGGAGTAGTACAGCGAAAAGTTACAGAAGTATTTATTAGAGACACCAATGGTAAATACATATGTCCTGCTTGTGGTAAACTATTTAAGTTATTTATCAGGGAATTACGAAGTACGTAAAATCCTGTGCAAAAGATTGGTGTATAAAAAGCAAAATCAAATGAATGAAGTAACGGAACAGCTAATAATGAGTGTTATGCACCTATTGAAATTTGAACTTTGTAAGAATAACGGTTACCATTTAAACTGATCTCAGAGGGTGGTATCCTGATGGAAAACTTAGCTTCAGTTCCAGTAGTGACCAACAGAACATTCGTCAAATAAAGCACTATCAATTTTGTTTTTTTGTGTGTTTTTATTATTTTGTTTTGATTCTCACCCTTCACCGGTGACGGTAATGAGTATAACTAACTAACCAAACACTTAGTTTCGCGAAGTCTCTCTGATGGGTTTTTGAGGCCTGCGGTCTCTTTTAGGGTTTTCCGAAAACTTTCCATTTTTCTGCTGGTTCAAACGCATTCAGTATTGTGCTGTTACATAATGTTTCATTTTATAATAACTTTTATATAAATGTATACAAGAGGTTCATCTTCTTTTCTAATTGATTTTATTACGTCTTCAAACAATTAACCGAAGTAGGGGGCTCTTCTAGATCAAATATTTTCGACTATTCGACTATTTGACTATTCTTGATTTTCAAGAATTCAACCTTTGAGATTCTTTTTTTCAGCTTCTCAAGTTTTGGCTATATAGACGCCTTCCTTTTTGGACTATTTGTACGCACTCTGAACATCCCTCCGCCCCCGCCCCACGGCACCTTCTACTATGCTTTGTTAATAAACTATAAGGTTTCCGCTATGTGGTGATAGTAGTCTTCTTCTACGACCGGACGTTTTTTTCTAGGAATGTCGTTTCTTAGATTGCTGTTTCCTATTAGTTGCCTTGCCTTTTAATTTTTAGGTCGTGACACGACATTTCCGCCAAGACCTGTTCATTAGAAAAGGGGGTGGGGTGAGGCAGGTAATCCCACCCCAATAATTGAAAACTTTTTGATCTTTGTTCGTTCTTTCCGTTTTTATAAGGAGAATGGAGTATCCCTTCTCCAAAAGTTAGCTCTTCGCAGAGTGAGTGCATGTATACCGAGCAGGAGGAGAGGAAGGCAGTGTGAGAGTGAGTTTAGAAAGTAGTTTGATGCGCAAAATATACTGATATTCCTGAACAAAACCCATGCTCAGCACTAAAGGCTTTTTGTCCGTGCCCATGGGTACGCATGGACATTGCCTCGGGCATCGCCACTTAGAAAGAATCATTCTGCCTACCTTCAAATGTCGATTCCCATACCTGATTATGTTGTTTCTTCTAGGTATCCAATTAGTTGAAGCTTTTTTCGTATAGGATAGGTCTCACTTTTCATTCGAACAGTATCTACCAGAAGCAGGTTAGTGTCTTCCACATAATTCTTGTTTGAATTATATTAAATTTTCATCTTGAAATTTATTGAGATTTATCGACATGTGGTCAAGACACAAAATTTGTTGTGTTTGCCTCTGATATATATGATGTTATTAAACAGAACTGATTTATTACTTTTTTAATGATGATAACCAATATTCTCAGTATTTATTATCAAACAAAAATGAAAAAAATTATTCTTTTTATCGTTGGTAATAGGGATGTAAACTGTTTATTTCATCAAAATATTGAATACATTCATGTATCGATCAGCAACAAGAAGGAAAAAGCAGATTTTACTAAAATTAAAAAGTTCAAGATGTATTCGATTACGGTGATAATCTTTTATTTCAATTGGCAAATGTAATGGTTCATTAATATTGACAACAAGCTCGAAAGTATGAACAACAAAACACGGAAGATTCAGCAAAAGAAAAAATATGAAAAAGCTCAACAATTGTAAGGTGCAGCTAATGCAAACTTACAGTGGAATTTATTTTTGACTTTTTTATACATATTCAGATTCAGCTCAACGAGCTGATTATGAATAATACCTTTCGAGCCTCCAAAAGCCATTTCTTCATGGAGAAAAACCCAAATTACTGAGAGGACCTCAAAAATACAAAAAACCGTCCTCTATGATAAAATTGGCTTTTTGAGCTTGTATTGCAAGATGGAAGGTTCGAACTATATTTTCTGAATCGGCATTGAAAACTGATTTAGAAAAAGGGTTTTAGTTCATTTCAGAGATAAACAGCCCAAAACCACTTATCTCATAAACAACATTGTCTTGACTTTCTTAAGCATATTGAGATAAAATCAGTATTATATTCGAGCTTAGCGGAGTCTATAACCTATAGCGCACGAATATTTCGGTTAGAATAGGGCGAAACTTTATCGAAGTTCTGGGGAACCATTCCCATAAAATTTTTCATAATTGTTCATAAATAAGTAGCGCATTTTGTTCATAACTTGATACTAATCCTTATCATATGATCTTTTTTAAAAATATTTGTGAATGAACAGGGAATAAGCGAAACCTTACTTTTTCTTGATGTAGGATGGCATCGGATTTGCCCGGGGTTCGAAGATCAATGTTTTTCTTTTTGTATGAATCATGCGAATAGGCCGGTGATGTTGGAATAATCCAACATGGCAGCAAGAAACAAATTATAGTTTTTTTAATTCAATTGATAATCCTGCGAATAGAATAAAGTACAGACCCCACCGCTCACTTTTTGTGCTGCTTTACTTGTATGTTTAAGCTTTTTGAAAAAATGATATTGTTAACATTAAATGTTCAACTTGAATTCCAGTTACATTGTCATCTTTATTATCAATAACTTCTTCCACTCGAAAGAGATTACCTGATAAAATTAAAACTTCTTTCTCGTTTGAGTAATCAGAGTAAAGATAAGCAGCACATATTGTTGAACATACATGCGGTACCTCGAATACAAATAGAATACCTTTGCCATTACAATTCTGGTCTATAAAGCTTAATGCCACTTCACGACTTTTAGATGATGCCGAAAATGTTTTTGTTGCAATAACTCCATATTTATTATTTTGGCATATGTCTTTATATTTTTGTAAATCTTCCTCTTTCATGGTTACACCGCGATACGATATCTTTGTATAAGCTATCTTTGACAGTTCATCTTGTCGTATATCAAATTCTTGAACAAATCGATCACACAATGCCAATGTACCATTTGGATCCTTTTTAGTATAATCGCTCGTTATTGTCAACGCCAATTGTTCATTTAATATTTTATAAAATTCTATCTCTTGTGTGTATAACCTAATCAATGGTCGAACACTTTCACTTGTTTTGACTTCTTTTATTGCTTGTTTATTTTCATTATAGTTATCGGGATCAGCTTTTTTTAAAAATTCATCCAAATCTCGATCAACATCTATATCAAATACACTAGCTTTATAATCACTTTCTCTTTCACTCTCATCTTCATTGAGTGCCTCAGTTCTATCAATAAATCGACTAAATTTATGTGAAAACCAGTCAAAAAATCTCAACCACATAACCATTGTTTCACGATTTGTAATATATTTCATAACCTCTTTTTCCGATTTAAACATCTGAATATAATTATGGGGTTTTGAATCGATTTCAGGTGTGTATATTGCAACTGATTTATCAAGGTTTTGCTCATGAAAACGTCCTACTGATGAACGGTCGTACAATTGAAAAATATCGAGGTAAAGCAGGGTTTTGTACCAGAGAACCAAGTGACGTTGGCTTATAGAAATCTGGTTAAGTTCGAAACAGATTGGTGCTCAGCCATTGTAACAAGTATGGCTGGATCCTCAAAGGCAAGCAAAATCATCAACAAGTCAGCTCCATCTCGAGAAACAAGTCACACCATATCTTATCTTCATTTTCATCAGACATTTTTGGTTAGTACTATACAGTTGAGCTTGATTGTTTTATATAAACATTATTTGCTAGGCAAGGGTAGTTCTTATAGAAACTGAAAATTTCAAATGCTTCCTAGGCGTTGAAGTTTTGAGTGGTGTCTCTGTCGAGATGGTGGTTAGCATTATAACACCGTTAGACAGAGGTTATTTATGAATGGACCCTATTTTCGTTCAAGTCATATTTTTATTCTGCGTATCGCCATTTGGAATATTTTTATATTTATTTGTGCACTTCAAACAATCAAGAAGAAAAAACTGTTTAGGTGGAACGATTTCAGTTCATCCCTTTTTTTGAAATTTCACCGTTTAAAGGAAAGAGTATAGTTATTGTCCATCCAAAAAAAGTGAGACTTTGATTTTCCGCGCTTCGGCCGTTGTATTCGATTTCCTACGAATCCCAGGACTGGCACTCAGTAACGATTGGTAGCCTTCAAGACGGATGAACTATGTGTAATCGACTCGTGGCAATGTTTGTTTCTAGAAAAGTTTTAAAATTCTACCGAAAAGCGAGTTTTACCAAAAATTTGCGTTTTCAGGCTGTTTTCACCTAATATTAAAAAATTCGCTAATCACTCAGTAAACATCAGAACGACTTCAAAATTTCAGAATATGGTCAATTTCCTCCGCTAAACGTGATCGTACAATCGAAAAATTAGAAAAAGCACAGTTTTAGAGTTCGGTTTTCCAGAAAACCTTCCGTAAAACCTTCGGGTTTTGTGCGGTTTCTTTTAAGATTTCCTATAAACAGGATAAAGAATAGCTTAAATACTCCACATTCTGAAATTTTGAAGTCCTCCTGATGTTTACTGAGTGGTTAGCCAATTTCTTAATATTACGTGAAAACAGCCTGAAAACGCAAATCTTTGGTAAAACTCGCTTTTCGGTAGAATTTTAAAACTTTTCTAGAAACAAACATTGCCATGAGACGCAGCGTGGCCGATTACGCATAGTACATCCGTCTTGAAGGCTACCAATCGCTACTGAGTGCCAGTCCTGCGATTCCTAGGATATCCAACAGAACGGCCGAAGCGCGGAAAATCAAGGTCTCACTTCACTCTCAATTTGAAAAGGACACCCTGGGCTATCAGTCTGTGGAAACAAATCAATACAATTCTATTGGAAAATTTTTACACACGAGCTAGTTTTTCAAAGATCCCCTATAAAACCTGTTTCAGAAAGCTCTTCTGGGAAAAATTTTGGTTATGAAAACATGTCCCCAAGTCTCCTCCTTCGAATGGTATAAATTGGAGCTGGTTAGCTTTTTCCTATCAAAAGTTATTCAAAAAACAGTCATATACCATTCTTTTTTTGGATGGACAATAGTTAAAAATCCTCTTTGTCGAAATAGGTCAAGCGAGTAAAGTACGTGGATTGTATTCCTCATTTTCAAATATCTTCTGCACTTGTCTTCGGCGAACTCCTATATTACCACCATCGAATACAGACAACACCAATGCATTGTCCATTAATTGTCCAAATCCAAAATCGGCTCGATAACTTTCTACACCAACAACTTTCATAGCATCAACCACAACTTCAGTCGCACTTTCGGAACAGTAAATTTTTGCCAGATGCGCTAATTCTCCTGATCCTTGAGATTCGAGTAATTCAACAGCTCGGGAAGCAAGTCCTCTTGATGTCTCGAGTTTTGTTTTCATCACAAGTAATATATCGGAAACCGATTGATAATGAATGATCGCATGGCTACCGTTTCGAGTCTCTGATTTGGCAAAGAATAAGGCTTTTTCGAACGCTGTGCGCATGATTCCAATTGAAAGTGCTGCGACAATACAAGCCGATGCAGTGAATACCGTTTCCACAGCTTGAGCACCACTTCCTGGTTCACAGAGCATGTTCTTTGCGGGAATTCGAAGGTTGGTGAGTTTAATATGGGGACCGGAAGTGGCGCGATGTCCGACCATTTCAAAATCGTCGACCACCGTAAATGCATCGGCTGGGTTCGCATCGATATCAGATCGAGTGACGATGACGATTGACATTGACGAAAGTGGAGTAGAATTACCTTTCATTCGACAAACGACACACATCAAATGCGGACCTCGAGAAGTCCACCCACCTACATTCGTCGCCCATATTTTCTCACCATTTAGAATCCAATGATCATCCCCGTCTTGTTCAATGAATGTTTGTACTCCTCGAGCACTCGGAGATGGATCCAACCAATTAGCATTTCCACCCACTTCAGAAGCCACGAAACTTGCTAATGGTGTCCCTTCTTTGGACAAAAATGATTCGAGAAATTCCTTCTTTTGCGTTGGACTTCCGAAGAGAAGGAGCGGAGAAAGACCGAGTCCTGTACCGAGAATTGTAAGTGCGATGCTTGGGTCTACAGCATACAATTCCTCCGCCATGATCATGCCATATTTCAGGCCTTCATTTGTGCCACCTTCACGGGTGGGGATTTGTGCGAGGATGAGACCGGATTGAATGGCTGCGTGGTAAATGTATTGAGTGGATTGAAAGCGAGATCGAGGATCAGGAAGTAGCATGTATTTGTTGTAAGCCTCTTTGAGGTAGGTGTCTGCGAATTTCTGGAGCATCGTTCTGAATTCAGAGGTCGACATTTGAGATATGTCCTGAAATAAAGACCTGGAGTGAAAAAATCTAGAAAAATACAAGTAACAAAATTCTTTTTACAAAAATTCCATTCAGTAAAATTCTGTAGAATGGCATGAATTGTTTTACTTTAACTTAGTTGTTTGATTTAAAAAATTTGAATACGAAAAGCTCATTACAAAACGTCTTTTTGTGACTTTGTACAAAAATGTCTAATATAAAAAGTAAAGTCTAGTAATAAAAATAAAAAACTATCTGACTTAGTGCAAAGTTAGACGAAATAACTCTATAAAAACTCGTGTCTAAATTGCCGTTAGTTATTTTTCTGTGTGAAATAATATTTCTTTCGCCAATGAACTGAAAAACATACAGAGTACTTCTTTATAGTTTTTTCCGTCGTTGGAAGCGTGGAGACTTCTCCAGAATCGTCGTTGAAGTTTTCGATCGAGTTGTTTTCCTTCAAAGTACTTTCGTGCATCAATCAGTTCTAGCATTGTTTGTTCACTATTCGCTATACTTTCTTACGTATGTTATTAATGAACACCAAAGACCCTCTATGCTGCTGAGCTCACAGTGATATTTCGGCAGAAAATGGACATTCACTTTGTATCGATTGCCTAACCATTCTAGTTTTGTAATCTATGAAGCAGAAAAAGGAGTGAGAACAATTTCAATCGCAGAGTTTCAGAAAATGCTGAGGTATTCAGGAGAAAAGTAGATTTTACTAGCAAAAGTTGTGAGCTCCTTCACTACAGGTGCGCTATTCAGTTTGCTATGAGAATTTCAGATTATACAGTGCGTGTACATAGTACTTCGAAGCCCATGTAAGGCTGACGACAGAGTACTTCGCCATGTAATAATCTTCGTTGCTTTGTCATGGTTTCTCTGCATCACAGTCGACAAGTACCAGGAATTGATCCGACTAATCCGTTGTACATTCATACTCATCATACACACCGATGACATAGAAATGGAAAGATTTATCATCCATCGTGGTGCAGTTTGATCTCATTTGCTTGCTGAAGATCGACAAAGTTATACAGCACCATTCTCTTGATGCTCATGCTATGATCAAGTAAAGGATAGAGGTCACCAATGGCATCATAGCGTAAGGCTTTTTCCATTCAGTGTTGACGGCCATTATATTGATACGACGAGAAGAACGATCACAATAAACTGATGCAGCAAAACGCGGCCACCTCGCAGTGGACGTTTCTTTTAGTACTAATGATGGGTGGTAAGGGTCACCACTCCCTTTCAAGGTATTAGTTTTATTGTTTTTATTACATACAACACTAAAATATGTATATATTTATTAAAATAATTTTCCTGTCATTGCTCTTAAAGTTGAAAGTAAAACATTTTGCTTGATAACAATTAAAAATATATAAATAAGTTTATATCTTTATCGTGTCATACGTATCCTTGCTCCTAAGCGCATGTGCACGTTGTTAAGATGTAGACGACAATATTTTTCGTTCTGCCTTCACCTTGTTTTTTCTTTATTAATGTCTAAGGTAGGCTTCAAGAGAGATTAAAAATATTAACGCTTCATTTGTCTCATCCTTGTGTATTGCTTTCGTATGTTCGCTTTTGCCGTATTGCCTTTTCAAGCTGTCAAACACATGTGTAGGTAACAAGTGGTTAAAAGGATTGATATGAAATCCTACAATAGCTGACAATAATGCAGAGTGGTTGTTTTGCATTATCTCGTATATCGATCTTACTCATCGCAAACAGTGATGTGAGCAGACAATTACCAGACACTGATACAGAAGGAGCTATGATCAAAGAATGCAGTTGAATAGTCAAACTACACAAATCGGGAAAAGAACAGCGATCCTATTTCAAGATATGTGGGGCTTGACGCGCTTTGAAAGTTTCTGTTTTCTAAAGAAGATTGAAGAAAGAGACGCATGAAACGAGTTTTACTTGAAATTCCTTATATTTGCTTTCATCAATACTTGTCTCTCACACGGATGTGCACGAGCAAAGCATCGTGTTGCGCGTTAATATGACGATGTTGATTTTCATTGTACAATGGAACTTTCCTCCTATATGACAACGGGCACGTGGATATATTTGATCTTCTGCTCTTTCTTTTCTTCTCTCTCACTCGCGTATATGATTGCAATCATGCGTCGGTGTTTGTGCTTGTTACAATAAAGTTGCTTTGTACATACACGTTTGTAGAGAGCACACACTAATGTATGTGCACAATAAGTATTTTTATCTATAGAAATATACAAATAGCATTGGTTCAATGTTGTCGGTATTGTTGTAGGATCAAGATAAGAAAAGAGAGAGTAAAGGGAATAGAAAATCCGCAAGAGTTCATCTATATGTGTATAGCAGAACTAAATCGAGTTTTTTCGATTCCAGTCCTGCTGTAACCCTGATCTATCGCGCCGCTATTAACGAAGCATACGATTCTCGGCTGCAATCTTCTCTCCATTCTATTCTTCTTGCAGTTCGATGTATTACTTTTCCTTTTACGTTTCACTCGTCGATGTGCCGTTGGTTCTATAGCAATAATATCGTACTTTCCCATTTGTCGTATCTTCCTATAGGTAATTGATACAATCTGAGGTACGTATTTCAGTCACTTTTTCCAAACTTGGTGTCTTGATCTTTAAACACTTTTTACAAACTTTGACCAATCACAAAAAGACGTTTTGTAATGAGCTTTTCGTATTCAAATTTTTTAAATCAAACAACTAAGTTAAAGTAAAACAATTCATGCCATTCTACAGAATTTTACTGAATGGAATTTTTGT